CAGCTAGTCTGGGAATATAAATGATACTCATTATTGCTTTCATTCACTACCCATTCTTGAGTCTTCTCTCTCACCTGGCATCCCTGCTAACATCCATAAGTTTTATGGTTATATAATCCTGATCCTCTTCTAAAGTTTCCATATCTTCTCATACCATGTCTCCTTGAAGACTAGATAGTAGCCACCACTTGCTGTTCAAAGAACTCCAGCTGTGTCTCCTGGTAGAAATATTTTCCCTTTAAAAACCAAAACTTCTAAACCTTCAGAACCCAGAATTGTTGAGATGGAAATTCCACAAGTAGATTACTGAGAAAGATAGCAGTCAGAGCAAATAACTATTTGGCTTAAACCTTAAATCCATGTATTCTACCTATTGGGAGCCATATAAAAGTTATTGTCTCCTACAGGACAGCAATCGAAACTTACAGACTGTTCTCTCTCAGCTAACACTTCAGCAGTGCCTTCAATAACTTTTCCTTCAACACTTTCCTATCATCCTATCATACCAGCAGCTTCTGAGTAGTGTGGTAGGTAATATGAACGGGACTCTCAAGGTTAAGTGCATTCTGCTGTATCTCTTTGGAAACAAAGTGCAACTTCATGCTATTGGAGCAAATATTCTGTAAGTCTTGTGATACTGCAACTTCACTGAAAGATCTTAGGGTACTGCATCAAGAAAAAGGAAAGCCATGCCCCAAATACACATTGATTATATTTGTCAATACAATCTCTGATTCTGGTGACTTTATGGTAGAAGGTACCCTATACAGTCAATTTGACAAATGACTGGTAAGTTTCTTCAAGGGATGGTATCACACTAGGAACTCGGTGCTGCTGTCTGTTTAAGGCCAATTAGGTGTTCAGGAGCAGCAGTAGCTGTTTTAGTCTCAATAATCTGGAGCCAATATTGCCTTCTCCATCCCTACTACATCACTAATTCATCTGTGTCCCAACTGTGCCTTCACTGGTGTGGTAGTCGGAAATAATAGAGGTTAGCTGTTATCAACTAGACAAGGTTTAGCCCACCTGGTATTTTGTTATTTTTTTAAATCTGTTAGACACTTTCTGGTGGATGTTGATTACCGTACAAAGATCTTTCCACTTCTTGTTCACTCTAATATACTCACAACTCTACCTCAGACTACCTTAGTCCCAACCTAACAATTTCTCTCCTTCCAAGCCCTTGATCAACCAGCCAACCTCAATCAACCTGATCAACATGTCCCTGAAACCAATCTTGGCTATTACTCTTGCAACACCAAATGGAGAATCAGGTAGATTCCCAAAGTTTTGACCCTTGGGAGGATATTCTACAATAACTTTTCTTTGAATACCACTCAAGTGAGACTATTGTTCAGCCACAAAGTCCCACTGAATCCTCCATGAACCAAACAGGGATTTTTCTTCACCTTCACTAACTTATCACAAAAGATTATCCAGGGAGGTCTGAGCTGAAGGTGAGGTACTTGGACAACAGTAGTAGATAGCATGGGTGTCCAGTCTACCTGTTCATACAGGCTGTTTGTGTCCTCTAGTCCCATTTGTGTTTAATCCTGAGTATACCACTAGGTGTGCTCAACCTTATAACAAGGCTGAATCAACAGAGACTAGCCCACAGAGAAAGCTGTAACCACAGTGCCACTTAGTATCACTATGTCAAGCATTCCACCAGTCTCAGGATTCTGAGCATGCAGGAAGATAACTCTCTACAGTTTATATAGCCATGCTTTAGAGCCTTATAATCCTGCAGTTATTCTCTCATTGGTAGATGCCATAAATTCTACAACTTCTACATTATTTCTTCTTACCAGAAATCTAGTACCCAAATACATGGCACTATAGCCCATGTGTATCTTAAACATGTCATTTTTCTTTCCCTTGACTTTAAACTTTTTATTTATTAAGAGTCACATTTTTTTATAACATCTATGTATGGACAAGCAGAAGTTTCAAAGTGGGCAGATTATTAAAGATAAAGGGCTACAGAAGATTAGAGATGGGAGAGTTTACTTCCCTTTGACTTTGACAGGATGACTACTGAATGACCTCCCAACGGCTATGCTGACAACAATTTACTCTTTATGGCCAAAATTAAAAAAAAAAAGACTTTGTAGCTGTGAAGCTGTGATTAAGTATTTAGGTTGGGCCCTCAATGCAAATATATGCAATTTTATTTGTAGAAATAGAGGCAGAAAAACACTAAAGTGGAGATGACAATAACTGCAGAAGCAGAGACTGACATGATACAGCCATAAGCCAAGAAATGCCAGAAGTCACCAAGTGGTGTAAGAAGCTGAATGAGGCAAGAAAGAGTCTCTTTTAGAACTTCCAGAGAGAATATGGTCCAGAACTGGAAAAGAAAAAAATTATTTTGTTTTAAGCAACCAATTTATGGTAATTTGTTACAGTAGCCATAGGATACCATTGTGGAAATAACAGAAATTTGCTATGGTTTGCAGAGCATTTGAAGAGTGGTAGTTAGGTAAGGTTTACACACATGGTGCCTGGACAAAAGGAAAAGGGAAAGGAAAGAGAGTGTTATAGATAAAGGGGAGAGGTGTTGAGAGAAAAAATCAAGGGAGGTATACAACAAAAAAGTTCAGTTATACAATAGTATATGAAACTTGAAAGTAAGTAATGATATACATTAAGATCCTAAATTCCAGTCTACAAAGTTTGATCTTTAATCCAAGAAGGGTGAACTTTAATCTGTAGATAGTCAAGATCTCTACATCTTTTGAGGACAAGGGGTGTTTGTGTTGTATGTGTGTGAGAGAGAGATGGAAGCTGGGGTCTGCAAGGGAAAATAATGATGTGATAAATTCTGTGAATATATGTCATGCTAGGCTATAACATTTTGTTCCTCTCCTTCCACCCCAAGATTTAAGTGTTGGAATTGAATTTCATCAGGAGTGAGTGAAAATTCTGGCCAAATAGTTGATAAATGGTAAATCGGAGAATGGAGACTATTACTATATACATTATTTTGGCTTACTCATTACTAAGTATCCTAACACAAATTAGAACAGAATACTATGCAGTACTTAAAATATACTTTTTAACAGTCTAACTAAGATTAATGCATTTTTTAAGAGAGTGAAATTATGTTTTGGGTTCAATATAATTAACCTCAGAGAAAACTCCAGAACCAGGATAGCAATTCTAGCCAAATCCAGTCAATTAGTGACAATTGTCTGGAGTAGAACTGAGAAGTAAAGCAAGGTTGTGCCATAACATATTAGCAGTGTAAATTTATATGTTGCATTAGGAGCACAAATCTAAATGACTTGCTTCCCATTCATGCTCCAAAAAACCTTTCAGGGCCCTCCCTAGTGGCGCAGCGGGTTAAAGCGCAGCACTGAGAAGCTTAAGCCACTTCCCCATGAGTTCGATTCCCGCCTGCCTGGGAGGTGACCACATGGCGCGGCAGACCTCTCCTGACCGCCCGCTGCTCCCCTCAGCAATGTACTTCCTTGATCTGCCTGTTCTGTTCCCCACTGTCTCTGGTGAAGCCTCTCACTGCTCCTGAGCCTCTGGCCAGTACACCAGCTCTGTATGCACAAATAAATAAATCTTAAAAAAAAAAAAAAACTTTCATATTTTGTTTTTTGTAAGGTATTGAAATAAATATTCCATTTTCATGGAGGTTTCCATTAGTTGAGTATGTTTGATCAAGGATTCACTGCACTCTAGTAAAAAGGCAGCAAAAGTTTGTAGTGTATAAGAGATGGGGAGTTATTCTGCTTTCTGAATTCCAAGATTCCAAAGTACTGGCAGGAGAGATAGGGTAGTTTCAACTGTCTATCTTGAAACACCGGTGCATGCTTTATGAAAAGTCTAACTCTGTTTTGGGCCAAGCAATCTATTCTTTGAAGAGGAGGGAAACCAGCAGTCAGTGGAGTCCCTCTGGTGGGTTAGAAGTCACAGAGGCAATTTTGTAAACTGAATTCCACTTCTACTGAAAGTTCTGAAACTGGACCCAGAGAGTGATTAAACATCAGTGCTGAGAAATTAGGTCATGGATGAAATGTACCACAAACTTCTGTGAGGAGGTGCAGCACCCACACTTAACGTTTACCAAAATAACTGCCTTTTAAAGACTTAAAATACAGTTCATGAAACAAGATATAAATACAATGATTATTATACAAGTTTTGCTATCTCTGCTGCTATTACTTAGGGGAAGTATGGTAGAATACGCACCCTCTTTTTCGGGGCGGTTCTGCTCCAGTTATCATTTTTGTTGCTGTAAAATGATGTCTAGGGCCCGTGTGGATAGCTCTCCTAAAGCCCCTTAGCAGTGGCTGACGCTTCGATAACCTACCTCAGGACTTTGCTCTTAATCATCAAAAAGTTCATTTTCCCTGCAATTGCGCGGGAGAAGCAGTCTCCAACTAGACAGACCACGCGTCTTTCTAAACCCGCCCCCCGCCCCCCCGCCCCAGCACACAACGGACGCAGGCGCATTACGGTGCCTCGAGGACTAATTTTACAGAGTACGCGTAAGAAGAGTCCTTTATAACCACGCCTCCCCAGTAATGCGCAGGCGCATTTAGAACGCATTTAGAACGAGAGCCCTCGTGATTGCTGCAGATTTTTAATTTTTTTGTTTTTACCTTTAACGACCTTCACTGTCCCGAATCTTGCTTAGGCTGATTTTCCCTGTATCTTATTGCAAGCCGCAATGTCTAAAGAGAAGTTGCTGTTTGGGGGTAAAACGTGCTGCGCCCATTAAGTTCCCTTCTGTTAGAAGCGGCAGTAAGTCCCTGACAGAGGTGAAAAGCAAAACAGTACATTGTAGAGAAGACTCTCAATCCGCCAACTCAATCACATGGCAGAATAATTACTTTTAAAATCCTACCTCGTGCCATGCTAAATTCCTCATAATACCCAGAAATCGTTTTATTTTCACGTGTCTGGAAGTCAGGCACTTCCGTTTATTATTTAGGACCTGGCTGGCTTGCGCATAGCGCATGCGCGCTCTGACCGGCGAGTTCAGTGGTCGAAGTACCGATCTGCCCCGCGCTTTCCGGTTGTGTTGGAAGCGACTTCTGGGCTCTGGTGTGGCCGCCATGGGGAAAGTAAATGTGGCCAAGTTGCGTTACATGAGCCGGGATGACTTCAGGGTTCTGACCGCGGTAAGAAGCTCCCTGATTGTCCCCTTCCCCATTCCTTTTCCCACCGCGTCCTCTTCCTGTTTGCTGGGAAATGAGCTCTCTACGGCCTGGAATGAGATCGAGATTGAGAGTTGGGGAGAAGAAATCAAAGTCTTTTCTTTGGAAGCTTTTCCCTACACCCACATAATGCGAAATCAAAGTCTTTTCTTTGGAGGCTTTTCCCTACACCCACATAGTGCAGGGGTTCCTCTTATAACATTTCTTTCTTTCTGCTACTTTTTTGCCTTAAGAGCGACACTCGCAGCTCTGTGACCTGAGAAGCGTCTCAAACCCCACCCTTCAGTCCTGTTCAGAAGGGTTTAAGAATGCTGGAAATAGTTGATAACTTTGAGCTCCTCACTCAGGGACTAGTCACAGGGCATTTCTTTAGGGTCATTCAGTAAACGTAAGTAGACGTTTTTAGTGACAGTGTTAGGCAATGCAACCATATACACGGCAGACAAGGGAGGCAGATCATTATCTAATAAGCAGGATTATATCAAATAATAAGTGCTGTGAACACATAGAAAACAATGGAATGGAGAATAGTGCATGATGCTGACCTAGGCACGAATGCTGATTTTACATTCTGTTTTCAGTAGACTGCCGGAGTGCCAGAATCTTGTCTGTTTACTTTTGTAACCAAATATTTAATGCCTTTTTTAAAATTTCTGGCCTTGGTAAGTACAAAATAAATATTTCTAACAGAAACATTGGGTAGGAAGGAAGTTAATGAGGCGCTAAATGAGAAGAAGCCTGTCTAAATGAAGAAGCCTGCTGTTGTGTGAAACAACAGTAGAAGTGCAAAAACCCGGGGGGCATGAGCAGTTTTTGTAGGCCTTTCCAGAAGGCCATTGTGACTGAAAAATAGGAGGCTGAATATTTGGAGGTATCGCTGGAAAAGGTGAGGGCCAAATCTTGTGCATAAACTTGCAGGCTTCGAGTGTTTCCTGGTTTCCTCAGATTAAAGTCTGAAACTCCTTGGTCTATTCTTTCAAGACCATAACCTACAAGAAAGTATTTCCAGCCTTCACGAAGTCTATAGGCCATCCCATCTGATGCACCACTATACTTGCTGATCCCCTGTGCTCTCTATTTTCTTCATAGGTGCTAGTGCCAATTTTTTTTTTTTTTTCAGATATTTCTCTGACATTCCCTTGTCTGCTTTTTCAGTATTCCTGCATTTTTCAAAGTAAATCGCAAGTGCTTTTTACTTGAAATTGATACCTCATATAAAAGTATTCTTGTTCTGCTCACAGCCAATCTTTCTTAAGCTCATCATTTTTACCTTCTAACAAAATTAGATTTGTGAATCCTTATTTCCACAATTAGATAGTATATTGTCCAGAAGTAGTGTATTTTTACATGTTTCTTATCATCCACAATGTGTAGACATATGGTACTTCCTCACTAAATATAATTTTTATAAATATATAAAATATATGTAGCTTTTAAAGACAAGTATATCCACATCAGTAACTATGTTAGGCACTCAAGATTTTTACTCTTAAAGTACATATAGTTTAGTGGACAGAGAGAGTGTGAATATCAGTGATTATATATCAAATTTGATTTAAAATATGTCCAGAGGAAGTAATAATTATATCTCAGAATTGGTTGGAAAACTGCAGAGTTTTTGGCAATTTTGATTTTGACTATTACAAAATGATCCTTTCATTTCAGGTTGAAATGGGCATGAAGAACCATGAAATAGTTCCCTGCAGTTTGGTTACTTCCATAGCCAGCCTTAAACATGGTGGCTGTAATAAAGTTTTAAGAGAATTAGTGAAACATAAGCTCATAGCTTGGGAGCGTACCAAAAGTAAGTATTTGAGGTATCGTTTGTGATTTTTCCTACAACTAACTTCCCCCAGATATGTTCCAAAAGGCACAATAATGGAAGTTGTCATACTAGAAAACACTTCACCTAGAACTGACAAAGCATACTACATGTTGTATTGGTCAGAGCAGTTACACTGTTCATCCAGATCAAAAAGTGTGAGGAAATAGTCTCTGAGTCCTACTAGTAGATTAGCAAGTTCTAATTGCAGAAGAACAAGTAGAATAGAGATACTATCACTGCCATTTTTGGGGAATACAGTCTGTCACAAAACACTAGAAAATTATTTTTCAAAGCATTCACTAAAAGAATATGAGTTTCTTTTTTTCAACTTTGCCGTGAAAGCATACTTTCATAAAATAATAAACTGATATACAAATTTGTATTATTAAGTTGAAAGTACACTATCACTTGATCCAGTTGATATAAAAATTTCTGGACTTAACCATAAAGACTTCATTTTAGTTCTATATCTTGTCACAGACTAGTAACAAACATATAGACTATCAGTATGTGTATCACACTTAACGTAACACTGCTTTACAGAAGAAATACAAATTATAGGAAGAAATGCTAACAATAAGTAGAAGTGGTTAATCTTTCCCATGAAGATTTTCCATCTTTAAATCCTTCTCATGACTTGAACTGATATGACTTGGGACAATGTAACTAAAATATGATCTTTCTCCTTTAATTTTGTCTAGCTGTCCAGGGTTATCGATTAACAAATGCAGGCTATGATTATCTAGCTTTGAAAACACTTTCTGCGAGACAGGTGGTTGAATCTGTTGGAAGCCAGATGGGTGTTGGCAAAGAATCTGGTAAGTGATAACTGTACTTGTATTCAACATTTTCTTTGGCTTAGTTTATATTTCTTCTTGACACAGCATTTATCTTCTCTTTTCCATTTTTTTTTTAATTGACCAGAAAACTAAAAATGTGTTGGAAACAATTCAGATTATGAATCCTCTCATGCACACCCCACCACAACCCCCAAACCTCTGACCTGTACCCCCATCTTGTATGCATAAATAAGTAAATAAATCATTAAAAAAAAACCATAAATAATTGAGAGAAAGCAAAATTAAAATTACAAGTAACGTCTTATTTGGAAGCCTGTCCCAAAGAAGCCACTTTGGTACTTTACATGGTTTATATTTCTTTTGTTTAATATCCAGATTATGGTGTATATTTAAAAAGAAATGTGTTAGTGCTGGATATAGCAGTATGTGTCTGTATGTCTATATATTTATAGAAAGAGAGAGAGAGAGAGAGAAAAGAAGGTGAATAAAATGAGATAATTAAACAACTTCTGAGATGATGCCTCTTCACTTTTTGGTGTACATTTTGTAATTTAAAAAATAATGGCTTTTTTACTTTTAAGAGCTTCATTGCATGTCAAATATGAAGTAGTACAAATGAATACAATAAAATGTAAATCTTATTCCTAACTCAGGTTTCAGTATTTTGTTATTTCCCACAACTATCATTGTTTATTGATATCTAACATAGCCTTCTAGAAATAGTTTATGTAAATACAAATAAATAATATACTAAGAAAAAAAAATATATATATATATATACACGTCACATAGTCACAAATTTTAATGGCAGGTAAACAAACAGTACTAGCTATTCTACACTTTGATGTTTTCTACTTGATGGATCCCCAGTGTCAACAAGTATGTCTTTCTCTTAGTTTTCAGGCATTACATTATGCGGATGTTCTGTATTTAATTTTACCAATCCCATTTGTTAGGGACATTTAAGTTATTCCTGTTTTTTGTGTGTATAATTGTGTGATGACCGACCTTTTACAAATGTCTCTGTGAAAATGTACAAATACATTTATAAATATATTCTTAGAAATTGAATTAGTAGAGTAAAAATTGCTATTACAACATTTCTCTCCAAAGATGAGACCAATTTATAACCCTACCTACGTGACAGAGGCTATTTCTTGATAGAGATGTAATAATTTAAATTTCTCATAAATAATTAAGATATGTTCTGAATGCCAGCATGCAAATAGCAACTTGTTTTTCATAGTTGGTGTAGTTTTGGGGAAGTCTCCATTCTGCTTACTTTAAGATTATATTCTGAGTATTATAGCAATTGAAGATGTGTACTTTTGTGTTATTGAAAATTAAGATATTAGGAAATCACTTCTCATTTGTAGGACTCTAAGAAACATTAAGTGTTTTGCCATTAAGTTGATTTGAGCATTGAACATCTTTAGAAGCTATAACCTTATAGACATTGCATTACTGTTTGCTTTTATAGTAAATCTGAGTATGTGTCATCTTTTGGGATCATAATTAAAGAATTTTGCTGAATGTTAAATATTCCTGGCATTTAGTCACGGTAAAATTTGATATTAATAATTAGAATTGTTTCAACTTAATAGAACAAAATGATAGTTTTTTTTTTTAACTTTTGACTCTAGATATTTATATAGTTGCAAATGAAGAAGGGCAGCAGTTTGCATTAAAACTTCACAGACTGGGAAGAACCTCTTTTCGAAATCTGAAAAACAAACGTGACTACCATAAACACAGGCATAACATGTCTTGGCTTTATTTATCTCGTCTTTCTGCCATGAAAGAATTTGCCTATATGAAGGTATTTTTTTTTTAATTTTGTTTTTAACCAAGTAATGTATTTACCTGAGAAGCTATATTGACAAACATCAGTCTGTTGCTACCATGTCTCCCCAACCCCAATCCTTATAGTCACCTTTAACTTTATTGAGTTTTTTTTTTATTTAACTTTCTGGTGATTTTGTCTATATAAAGGTATTTGAAATTGTTATAAATGCATAAAGACACTATATATTTTATAATATTAATAAGGTAACCTGAAATGATGATGTAATTGGCTCATAAATGTGTATGTGTGAATATATTATCTATTTAATGCATGTAGCTATATATATCTATTTCTAATTAAAAATGCCACATGATTGACATCTGTAGAAACCTTAGTGTCTCAAGTAAATTGACTAATATTTTTCTTTCACGTAATAGGAGAAATGTCAGTTTACAAATTTTAATGTTAGAAATGGTAAAATATCGTTAGTAATGACCAAATTTCAGCAATACTAAAGCTGAAAATAATGTTGCCTTATTTTTCTCTCTAGAGGATTTATTTGTTATGACTTACCTTCACTTTTTGAATTTGAATTATTAAAAGTTGTTCAGTGTTGACCAGTTTCTAAGGAATTTTACTGTGGCTAACCTCTTTAAGTAGGTTATTTTAATTCATATGCTTAAATTTTTAATAATCACTGGAAAAGAATTTTTGAGACATGTAAATAAGTGATAGTGATATACATATAATGTATTTTATGTCTTATACTAATAGTTTTTATCCTGTGATAGTCAATAAGTAGACAATTGGGTATAGGGATCATTACACTTTTTTTTAATTTGTGTTGTTTTTTTTTTCCTTCTGGATTTTATGTGAAGTATAGAAATGGTTGTGGTTATATATAAGTATGCTCCTTAAATGCATCAATATCTTTTTGTTAAGAGTGAATAAAGGGACCTCCCTGGTAGCACAAAAGGTTAAGTCTCAGCACTATGAAACTGTTGCAGCCACTCTGGCACAAGTTCAATCTCCAGCCAAGGAGCTAATCCACATGGTACAGCAGATTTCTCCTGTCTCTCCTGCTGCTCCCCTCAACAGATTATTTCAGTAGATCCGCCTATTCCAAGGACTAGACCACTATGACAGTAATTACAGTCATAGGCTGTTAAGCTACTGAGAAATGTTCAAAATTGCTTATACTGAAGGAAAAAAATCTTTTAAAAAAAGTTCAATTTCTGCCTAAAGAAGATAAGAAGTAGAGTTGACATCCTTTTAAAATTCATTCTATTAATCAGCCATGTGTTTACCACTATATTATAAAGCACTAGAGTAGAGTGTGGTGAAGAAGTAGATATCAAAGAAATGCAGCCTGTATATTAAAGTTGGAGTTTAAAAATCAGATCAATGTTTAGAGAAACTTTTGTAGAGTAGACAAGTTGATGAAGGAGATTTCATGAAGTGAGGGAGCGTTAAGTAGAGTTTTGAAATGTGCATAAGATTTGGGTGCAAGGAGAAGTCAGTAAGTGTGCAAGAGAAAAGCCATGTTAGGCAAAGGTGTGAATGTAGATGTAAACCTTTGTGTAGGTGACAGTCGCTAATGTGTCTATCCTAAAACTACTCCAGAGTGCTTATTAATGTTAGTAGAACTTGGGCTAGAAAAGTAGATTGAAGAGCATTTTGAAAACTTAAAATGGTAGTTTGGGCCGAAATCAATTTTTTATAGCTATTGTAGGCCATAATAACAGGATTTTGTAAGGAATGGGATAGAAAAAGTTAAGGGGAAAGGTGGATTCATGGATGATCTGAAATAACATTTGACTCATACTATTACAGTATGTAAGTTTGTACCATTAGTAGATTTATGGAGTATTCTGTGGTCTGAATAAAAAGTCAGTGCTCTATAAAAAAAAGTCCGATTTTTTATGTTTAATTTCCTAATATGCCAGAACACAGAGGTTTTCGTAAATTGCCGTTTATTTCCATTTGAACATTTGGCACACACTCCAATAAATCACAGAAACAAAATAGAATAATATTCTAAGAAACCATAGCTTTTTGAGGGCAGATACTTATTAGCTAATTTTTGTAACCCTCACACTGTGCATAATATTTAGCAAATGTTCAGTAAATGACTAGTGAAAGTAATTTAACTGGTTTAAAAAATTTTTATGTACTGCTCATTTTATAAATTTGCCATACGTAAATAATCATGTATTAACTAAAATTTTGTAGTGGGTTTTTTCTAGTTGTAGGCAGCCACATTTTTGGTTTTCGTCCCCCAGAATTAATGTCCTCTTCATTGGTTTTGTTTTCCTATACTTTAGGCACTGCATGAGAGAAAATTTCCAGTTCCAAAGCCAATTGATTATAATCGCCACGCAGTGGTCATGGAACTCATTAATGGCTATCCTTTGTAAGTATTTTCTATTCTTGAAAACATGGGTCCTTAATAAGTCTAGGTTTTGTTTTTATATAAAAATAATTTTTAGTAAATGGCATACTGGTCCTGTGAGATTAGAAATTGATATAAAGCAGTTGACTCAAAAATAAATTACAAATTGTTTCATTCCTGAAATATGGCCCTTGTAATCTCTGTGAGTTACTTGATAACATTAATAGACTAGTGTGCACCAAGAACTGTTCTAAGCTCAGTAGTAAATAAAACAAAGCTCCTGTCCTCTGATGGTAGAAGACATGCAGTAAATAGCTAAATAAAGGCATATTTGACAGATGGCTAGCAAATGCTATGGATAAAAATAAAGAGGGAGATAGAAGTTCCAAGGTGGGGATAGAGAGGTCAGAAACGATCTCACTGATCGGGTGGTTTTTTGGCAGAACTCTAAAAGAAATGAGAGACGAAATTATGTGTACACCTTAGAAAACATTTCAGGCAGAAAGAATAGCATTGCCTAAGTCCCTAGTAGTGCAGTGTGTTAAAGAGCAGCACTGTGAAGCTAGCCACAGCCACTGCAGCACAGGTTTGATCCCGGACCAGGGAAGTGACCCGCATGGCACAACAGATGACACAACAGACCTCTCCTACCTGCCTGCTTCTCACCCTCAGGGGTATACTTTGTCAGTCTGCCTGTTCTACTCCCCGCTCTGTCTCTGGTGAATCCTCTCAACACCACACCTCTGGCCTGTACCCCAGTTCTTGTATGCAACATAAATAAATGTTTAAAAAAAAAAAAGTATACCTAGATGCTCACGGAACAGTGAGGAGACCACTGGAACTAAGTAAGTGAAATAGAAAGTTAAAGTGATAAGATCAAAGAGGAAACTGGAACCAGGTCATTTAGGGTTTGTAAACCATTATAAGGACTTTTTAATACTTATTTAGTTTTAATGTATTTGATTTAAAATGTATAGATTTTGTGTGTATAATGTTGATTTGATTCACTTATATATTCTCATATAATTACCATTTATAGAGATAATTTGTACAAAGACATTTTATTTTGGTTGAAATAAGAAGCCATTGAGAATTTTGAGCTGAGAAGAGATACGGTCTGACTAAGTTTTTCAATTGGATCACTCTGGTTGCTGTATTGAGAACAAACTGAAAGGAGACAAGAACAGAATTAGGAAGATAAATTAGTAGATTCATGTAATAATCTGTGCAAGATGTGAAGGTAGCTTAGACAATGCTAAACATGAAGATGATAAAAGGTTGTCAGATTTTGGATATGTTTTTTTGATGGGGCTAATATGATTTGTTTGGTATCCTGTATTGATTAGAAGTAAGGGAAATCCATGATCACAGCAAGCTATTTCAGCCTGAATAGTGAATTAATTGCAGGGATAAAGTTGCCATTTACAGAAATTAGACTCAGGATGAGCAAGTAGGAATTAGAGGGTAAGGCAATATCAGAAGTTCGGTTTGGGACATGATGTTTGAGATACCTGGGAATTCAAGAAGTCTATGCTGAAATCAGTGTGTATGTTAGTGTTTAAACCTATGAGTCCAGGTCAGATCACTAAGAATTTCTCAAAAGGCCCTAAGTTTGCTCTTTAAGGAGCTCAAAAATTTACAGGTTTGGGAGATGAAGAACTCTTCATAAATACTGAGAAGAAGTAATCAGTGCAGAAAGAGGATGGACTGAAGCCTTGATGTAACAGTTATCAAGTGATGGAAGTACTTTTATAGGAGTAGTAAGATAGATGAGGTACAGCAAGGATAAAATTGACTACTGGATTAGCAATACAGAAATTATTGCTTGGAGTAACAGGAGTTATTTCATTGGGACAGATGATGGAAGCTTGTTTGAAATGGGAAGAAAAGCACATGTAGGGGAGTTTGTAAATATCAAGAAAGGATATGGTAGTGAAAATATGAAGTAAAGTGTGACTTTTTGATGAGTGGGTACTTTTATGCCATACTTATATGCTAATGGGAATGAAGAAAAAAACTGTTAAGACAAGAAATGGAAATTTTACGCATACAGTAGCTTTCATTAAAGTTATTTGAGTACAAATGGCTTATTTCATACTTAAAATACCTTCAGGTGTCAGGTACACCATGTTGAAGATCCTGCATCAGTATATGATGAAGCTATGGAACTAATAGTCAAACTTGCCAATCATGGACTGATTCATGGAGATTTCAATGAATTCAATCTCATTGTGGATAAAGATGACCACATCACCATGATCGATTTTCCACAGATGGTTTCAACTTCTCATCCCAATGCTGAATGGTAGATGCTGAAACTAAATCTAATTTTGGGTGTGTTTATGTGATGCAGTCATTTTATTTATTTATAATTTTCTTAGATCTGTAATATTGTCTTTTGGTCAGTAACTTTTGTAATCTAACAGACTTCAAAACTCAAACTTTCTCAGCCTTGAAAACCTTTATTCAGAGGCTGAATCAGGAGTGGAGATGTGGAGGGGACCCTAGCCCCATCCTCTCTGCCTTCCTCCTGTTTCTTTCTGCTGTATATCCAAGAGCCCTTGGCCAAGCAGAATTTATTACCTTGATGACCCTAATGAAAGTTAGGGTTCCGAACTGAAGCCAGATCATCTTTAGCTTACCAAGTTGAGAAATGACACCTTGGGCTTTATTTGTTTTTCTATAATACAATTGGTGATACTCAAATTAAGGGTGTTTTTTTGTCCTGTTCCAATAGATAATACAAAAATTTTACCCTTTTCCCTAAAATAGTAGTTGCTATTGCTTACATAATAGAATATATTCATTCTTCAGAGTTTAAACACAAATCAGTTTGTGTTCAGTGAAGCTCTTCTTTCTGTTGATTTTCATTGAAAAAATACCTATGCCTGTTCCAGAGAATTGGCATTTAAAAATAAACTTAAGTAATATTTCCAACAAAACAGTGATGATTGATTAATGCATGGATTTTGGGAGTTAATATATCTTTGTGTGATGACTAATCACTATTTTTATTAAAATGGAGTGGCATAGACATGAAGGAACATCCTGGAAACACTAGAATTAAAAACATTTTCCAAGTTTGAGCTGTATTATTCTACAGGGAGATATGAGTTAGCTTGAATAATACTGTTAATAATAAGGGAAAATCTTGAGTTTTTTAACCATAAGAATTATATGATTTTGATAGCTTATATTCCTGGCTAGTTTCTCTGATTTTAACTTTTCAAAACACACTGGCAACTGGTCTGCTTTTTTCTCTACTCTATTTTAGTAATGTCCTTTTTTCTTTCATGAAGGAGTATCATAACAAATAAAGTGTTGTCACTCATTAGCTAATGAACAAAGGCTACATCAAAAATGATTTTTACTTTTGCAGGTATTTTGACAGAGATGTTAAGTGCATTAGAGATTTCTTCATGAAACGTTTCAGCTATGAAAGTGAGCTTTATCCAACCTTTAGTGACATCAGGTGTGTATTCTACATTGGTTAAAATGATAGAACTCTAGATACCTTTTGTTCAAACTTTTCTCTAAAATTTTTTAAATAATGACTTTTGACATATTACAATCATTGTTATCATTGCTGTATAGCACATAAAAGAAAGTTAAAATACTTGCCTTGGTTCAGTAAGACAATATTTCTAAATTTAGAGAGGAACATCCCTAATTTCCTACAAATGCAAGGACTTTATTCAATGTTGGGTGCTATGTGAATAACCCATTTGTAAGGAACAAACCAACTGCTTTTTCTTCATTTAGAAAAGAAGCTATCTTTAATTGGCCCACAAAACATGATAATATGTGCATTCTTATTGCCAGGTTTTCTCATTTATATACTTAAGATTGTTTGTTGACTTGAGATAATTTACATAATTAAAAAGAAGAAATCCTAGCCCCCCAAGTCCAATATCAGTTGAAGTTTCACTAACTTTCCTACCAATGCATATAACTTTTTACAGTCATGCTATTTTATTTTTTAATAACAATTAGTATATTAGTGATTAGCAATTTTGCATTACTATACTGAAGTAATTTAATCATTTTAGGCTGAGAAACGTCTTTAAAAGATATAAACTATGAAATGCATTTGAACATCATAACTTACCAGACTTCTAGTATCTGTTCTTGTCAGATGGATTTTTACAAAACTCTCTGAATTCTAGACATTCTTTTTTTCCTAGGAGAGAGGACTCCCTTGATATAGAGGTTTCTGCCAGTGGTTACACAAAGGAAATGCAGGCAGATGATGAACTTCTTCATCCAGAGGGTCCAAATGATAAAAATAATGAAACAGAGGAGGGATCTGAATCCTCATTTTCTGATGAAGCGATGTCACAAAAAGCAAAAGTTTATAGATCAGAAAATGAAAGTAAACAAAAATGTGTAGATCTCTCTGCTGACTGCTATTGTATGTCATCTGAAGACCTTGAGCAAATTAAGGAAGATGATTTGCCAGAGGAGGGTGCAGGTGCACACAACTTTAAAATGACTGGATTCAATCAAGCTTTAGAAGAAATAAAAGATCAGGTGGTAAAAAATAATTCTGTAACTGAATTTTCCGAGGAGAAGAAGAAAACTGGAAATGATGTCACTGGGTTCAGTCAAGCTTTAGAAGAAATAAAAGATCAGGTGGTAAAAAATAATTCTGTAACTGAATTTTCTGAGGAGAAAAAGAAAACTGGAAATGATGTCAGGCAAGATGATCAGACAGGTCAGGGAGGAATCCCTGCCGGCTCTGAAGAATATGAAGATGAATGTCCTCATCTGATTGCCTTGTCACTAAACGAATCCAGGCCTATCAGGTAAAAGAGCAGTTTTTTGATTCTGGAATTTTTCCCAAGTGATGTGAAAGACCTGTCCTGCACTTTATGTGCAAAATAGAGCAAATATGGAGATCTGTGTAGTTCAGAGAAAGAAATGAATGGTCGGGCAGTAGTAAATTTTAATTACTAAAAAGCTCTCTGACATTTTGAAATTTTGATAGTGACTATCAGAATTCTCAGCAATGAAAATTGTTGATATGTTAAGTAAAATTTGTGTATAGTTTTGCTTTTCCCTTCACAGAAATTTATAAATTATCTCTGCAGTATTTTATCTTTTAAGCTTTACTATCATGAAATTATATAAATTAATCAAACATAAAAATTAAAACTAGGTAAATTTTGTTTTAATTTTAGAGAAGAAGAAAATATGGAAAATATTAATCAATGTCGAACAAGAACTCTGAGTGTTACCTCTATGGGCAGTGTGTTAAGCTGTTCAACAATTCCTCCGGTAACTATTCATTCAACAGTTTCCAAATGTTATTAAGGCATTACTGTGGACAGATTACTGAGCTTTAAGACACTATGAGCATTGCTTGATACAAAACAGCTTCATACATGTGAGCCCTACATGTAAATAGTATAAGATTGCAGCATGTATAGTTGTAGTGATAGAGGGGAGAGTGTTTGCTCTTTAGGTGCAATGATCCAAGCTTTCAAGGAAAAAGCAACATGTGAATTTGAAAGATAAAGTAAAAATTTAGAGTAAAGGGTGACTTTGTCGATTTTCATATGGTCTACTACATGCATTTTAGCAATGGAAAAATTGAGATCCAGATATCTTACCCATAAAGGTAGCTCACGACCAAAATGAGAAAAATGCATCAGTTTCAGTAGCTGGCTAGTTGTTAGATTTTGAAAGAGAAAATAGGGCACTTTTAAAATTTAGATCTTATTGTTATTTGGCAGCTATGATAAACAAATTTCATAAGGAACATTTTCTAGGCAGCATAATCAAACAGTCTACCTCCAACCAAGGAGCTTTTCTGCCAGTCACCTTCTCTCTTGGCCACCCAGGAGCAAGAATCAGTTTGTTTCCTTTTGTAGGGTGTACAGAAAGATCAAATTACTTAACCGCCGATTTGGGGGTTCTGCCTTCTATTTCAAGTTATTAAGTTGAATACCATTGAAACCAGTTTTCAGTGGTAACTTAAAATGACTAAAAGAATAAAGTAACTTTTCATTGTAGAAAAGAGGAAAAATAAAATTATATGGAAAGTAAGTTCAAAAGAAAAAGGAACTTAGTTTTTTTTCCTGAATTTCCTATTTCTCCTTTAATAGTTTATCAGTAAGTTAAAATATATATCCTGTGGATATACTAAGTTGGGGTTTATTTACCAAGTTAAACATTAGAATTATCAAAAGCAAGCTAAAAAAACATCTTTTTAGAAGTTTACTTGACAATAAAAAGCTTTACTTGACAATAAAAAATTTGTCCTAGTGCTTTTTATCTAACATAGTAATGAAAAAAATGGCAGCTGCATATAAAAAAGATAATTAGCAATTCATTTTTAACAGTGATAAAGGCTTTTAAAAATAACTTCCAGCTGCAAAAGCTGTACCTACTTTCATCTAGAAAGCAGACAAGCAGTTTTTGGTTTTTTTGTCTTGTTTTGTTGTTGTTTTTCAGTTTTCCTTGATAGACACTAGGTGGCACTGCAGTTATCTGTTAGTCCAGGAATTGTGACTGGCTTACTTTTGCTAAACTTGTATACCTATAGGAATTTAATTTCTTCTATTTTAAAACTACTAGTTTGCTTGTTCATACAGAAGTGTCAGTATTTAGAATTTAAATTCAAGTTCTTTACAAAAATTTGAAAAAAGTACTAGTAAGATATATAATGTATGTAAATCTTTGTTTGATTAAATAGCCTTGTCAGAATGGCTAGTTATCAGTGATAATAATTCATTAAATCTTTCCAGGAACTGGTGAAACAGAAGGTGAAACGTCAGTTGACAAAACAACAAAAATCAGCTGTCAGACGTCGACTGCAAAAAGGAGAAGCAAATATATTTACCAAACAGCGGCGAGAAAACATGCAAAATATTAAATCAAGCTTGGAGGCAGCTAGCTTTTGGGGAGACTAATCTATCTGTGATCTTGAACAATGTCTGTATATTACTTAAAAAGTTGCTATGACCCCTATTTAAGCCTCCTTAAAGTCTGGTTTTTGGACAAGGGCAATTATATATATAGTAAATAGAATCTTTTTCATCTGTAAATTTGACTCATTCATTGTTTCTTGTAAAGACTAGTTGTAATAATTCTGCTAAAGCACTACAGCTTTCCAAGTAATTATACGACTAGTAAATCTGCTAAAAAATCTATTTTTTTTTTTAAGATTTATTTATTTGTGCATACAGAACTGGGGTACAGGCCAGAGGTACAAGGACAGTGAGAGGATTCGCCAGAGACAGAGTGGTGAGCAGTGGTCAAGATAAGAGAGGTCGGTTGCGCCATGTGGGTCACCTCCAGGGCAGGGATCAAACTCATACTGAAGTGGCAGCGAGCAGCTAGCTTGCAGTGTTGCATGCTGCATCCTAATCTGTTGCACTACCAGGGAGAGCCCAAATCTGCTAAAATCTATTTTTAAAAATAATTTTTATTAGGAAGATATGATATTTTTAAAATCTGAATAATACTGCTTTTATTTACTCTTAACCAAAAAGACATAGTTAAATTTCAAGTATCACCTTTCTATTTATCCTCTGCCCATAATTTTCTTGTTTTGAAGCATTTTCTGAGAAAATGCTCAGAAATCACTTAGAACAATATCCAACGTGCTGTAAGCAGCCAGTAGAATACAACAATTAGAAGAATAATTATGCATCTTTTCTGAAATTTTGCTGACAACTTGACTGCTGCATTTTTTTTTAACCATATTCATAAAGTGATCATAGGAACAGGAATTTGAGTCCTCTCAGGGTTTTTACAGTTACCAGATTTCATGCAAACTTGAGCCATGACGCATTAAGGGTAAAGGGAGGTAAAATGGACAGAAAGCGAAATGTCCTGTTCCTAGCTAGGTTCAGAATATGTTCATTTCAGCATGAACACATAACTTGCTATAGAAAGAAAGACAATCCACATGGTTCCATCTTCCAAGACTATAATCCAGTGAGATGTGACTTTGGGTGCTTTAGTGCAAGTACCTGAAAAATAACCACTAGGTGGCAGTATCACCCCACAGTCACCACGCAGGGCATTCTTCTATTTGTGATATATTTGTAATATAGTTCATGGTAGGGGCCTACCAGAGGAAATACAGGCAGAGATGTTTACAAGACAGATAAAAACAGTAGATTTACTTTCAACCTCTCAAAATTACTTGTTGTCACTTACATGATCATTGCCTAATAAATTCTCTTTAAAAATACAGGTGCAGACCCTCCCTGGTGGCACAGTGGGTTAATGCACAGCTCGAAGAAGCTAAAATTACTTCAGCATGAATTCAATCCCCAGCCCTGGAGGTGACCCACATGGTGTTGCAGACCCCTCCTGGCCTGCCTACTGCTCCCCTCAGCAGTGTACTTTGTTGATCAGCCTGTTCTGCTCCCCACTCTGTCTCTGGTGAATCCTCTATACCTCTGGCCTGTAACCCGGTTCTGAATGCATAAATAAATAAATCTTTTAAAAAATATAGGCCCAACTAGCAACAACAAATGTTAGCGAGGATGTGGAGAAAAAGGAAGTCTCCTGCACTGCTGGTGGGAATGCAAACTAGTACAACCACTATGGAAAACTGTTTGGAAGTTCCTCAAACTGCTAAACATGGAGCTTCCCTACGACCCA